TTCAACTTATGTAAAAATTAAGTAAGGAAAAGTAAGGCACTGAAACTTTGCAAATTATTACGCTCTACGTGAGATTCATGGAGGTCGCTTATTGCATACAAATCACGCCAAATGCTTTAACTTTTCTGCTTGGCTTTAGGTCAGAAGAACAAAAGCAACAAATTCGCCTTTTGTAGAAAAACATTCTGTCAGGCAATAAATCTACGGGGAGATTTTTCCCTATGAAACTGAGCCAAAAGTGTTATATAGTATCTAAATATGGAAGTGTTGTGCATGTTAAACGTGATAGTCGTTGCATTACTTTCACTTTTTTACTACTGAAATAAAGATATACTGATTATTTTGTAGATTGGAAAACCCTCCTTGTGATCATGAAAAGGAGCAAAAACTGGAAAACGAGAAAGAACTGGAAAAGAAGCGAGAACCCGAAAAGATGCAAAAACTGGAAAAGAATCAAGAACTGGATAAAAAGGAAGAACATGAAAAGAAGGAGAAACTGGAAAAGAAGCAAGAACTGAAAAACAAGAAAAAACTGGAATTGACACAAAAACTAGAAAAGAAGCAAGAACTGAAAAAGAAGCAAAAGCTGGAAAAGATACAAAAACTAGAAAAGAAGCAAGAGCAGGAAAAGATACAAGAATTAGAAAAGAAGCAAGAACTGAAAAAGAAGCAAGAGCTGAAAAAGAAGCAAAAACTGGAAAAGAAGCAAGAACTGAAAATGAAACAAGAGCAGAAAAAGAAGCAAAAATTGGAAAAGAAGGAAGAACTGAAAAACAAACAAAAACTGGAAAAGCAACAGAAACTAGAAAAGAAGCAAGAACTGAAAGAGAAACAAACACTAGAATGGATTCAAAAACTAGAAAAGAAAGAAGAACTGAAAAAGAAGAAAAAACGGGAAGAGATACTAAAACTAGAAAAGAAAGAAGAACTGAAAATGGAGAAACAACTGAAAGAGATACAAAAACTAGTAAACAAAGAAGAACTGAAAAGTCAAAAGAAACTGGAAAAAATGCAAAAACTAAAAAACAAAGAAGAACTGAAAAAGAAGAAGAAACTGGAAAAAATGCAAAAAACAACAAACAAAGAAGAACTGAAAAAGAATAAGAAACTGGAAAAAATGCAAAAACTGGAAAAGAAGCAAGAGCCGGAAAAGATGCCAGAACTGGAAAATATAGACGAGTCAGAAAAGACGCAATACCTGGAAAAAAAGCAAAAAACGGAAAAGAATCCTCATCTGAAAAACAAGCTGGAACCGGAAAAGAACTGTCAAACCCGAAAAGGAAACCGGATGAACTGCGAAAAGAGCCAGAACTCGATAACAACTGTAGAACGATTGATTTAATGATCAAACGAAGCAAGACCCGGAAAAGAAAAATAGAACAAATAAATCATACACCTGCTTCATTTTAAAAATTTTACCAAAATTTATTATCAATAACATTTTTATTATGAAGAACTTTATGGTATTCTTAGTATATGGACAGCATTTGATAATATTTTGCTCGGTAAAGTGTAACTACTGATATATTATTAGCTAGTAATTAGTCATGCTAACTTTAAGATATCAGCATTATTTTAGCAGCAACTAAGTACACTCTTTCGTAGTTCAGATCTATGTTTTCAGTGCCTTTCATGGCTGCGAGGTCTTCCGGTTTTACCTGGAAAGTCACAGTTTATTGACTTTTTTAACACATAGTCACATGACAGTATTTTTCAACAATAAATTTATGTTATGCTACTGGCTTTAAATTGTGCAAATAAATATTGCACGTCATATCTTTCATAATTGAACTCATGAAATTAATTTTATACAGATTTCATTTTAAAATTTGTTTGACCCTGAGCTGTCTTATCCAACTGCAGATATTTATAGGACTTTATATCAAGATTCAAAGAAACGCTCAAAAAGGAATGTTTATCCGCTTTTAATTATGTGTTAATCAGCTTGAGTTGCATTACCAAGATTGTAATTCTAAACAAATTAAAAGCTATTGTAGTATGTACATTAGCTTTTAATTTGCTTTCACCTTGTTTAAATGTAGTTTGACATACCACAGTTTCCGTTTCTACTCAGGATTTTTCTAGTGTAAAAATTCAAGATTACAAATTAAAATGAGCGAAAAAATAACTTTTAAAATGTGTGTATACATTAAATCAGAATCATAATATAATTAGAGAAAAAAACTGAATAATATATTATAAAGCGAATTTATATCAATTTCGATTTCTTTCAAAATAGAGATTCCTTCGCACCTCACAAATCTCACAGAAACTCTCGGTTTGTGATTCGTGAGCTTTAGTTTTTTATATTTGGAATTTGGCAGCAATATGATTCACTGTTACGATACAAATTCTTGCTCACAAATTGGTTATCTAACTAGAAAATGGTATAACTAAAATAAAATAAATATTATTAGATGGAAATGTTGGTTTGCTTTGCGTTTATCTGAATGGTATCGTATATATAAACCTGTTGGAGACGTTTTTTTCCCACACATCGAATAGAGACACATAGTCACATAATATAAATAATCTGACTACATTACTATAGTGTAAGATGAAGCTCTACCACATTTCTCTATTACTTTAGACTGCGAAAGATTTGCTAAAGCATTACAGGATCATACTCTGAAGGATCTCGCCGTTCTGTTTCATTTTCTTCCCCCTCGAAAACACATTATCTTAATACAATAGATTACTTTTGAAGGAATGTATTATTTGAAAACCTTGTAACTGTAAGAATTATTCTCTGACGTTATTACACAAAAAGAAAAAGCGGTTGAGAGCCTAATCTTTTTTGCTATGCGCTTTAAGATGTATAAAATCATTTTTGAAATGTAAGGCCTACAAACCGAAACGTAACTTTATCTTATTTTTTTCTGTACTATTCATTAGAGTTATATACATTCCCATCAATAGATACTCAATGGCTAAATATTCTGGTTACCCAAATCAGTTCTTTTTTTCCTCTCTTCTTTTTCTTAATTTTAAATAATCCGGAAAGTAAAGCTATAGAAAATTTCACTTCTTCATTAGAAATCTGATTTGGAATTTTGTTTTCCGAGATAAAAATTTTAATTCCTTATCTCTTTTCTCAACACAAAGATCGAAAAACGTAACATCGACATTTTGAAAACATTTGTAAACTAATAGAAGGGAAAAAGCAGAATATAATGGTTCAGCAAGCATGTAAATATCTCTATCACTTAAGTTTCAGCTATGTTTGTTATAGTATATTCAGGCGTATAAGACGCACTTTTAAAACAAAATGTAAGATGGAAATTTATGCGTGCGCGCTGTACGCCAGCTATAAAAATTTTATGTTTGGAAATATGGAAAAAGTGAGCATACGAAAATTAGATTTCTGCGTGTAATTAAATTTTTTTTCTTTAAAAGAAATAACACAGTTTATGTACTTAAAAATTTTCGTTATAAAAATTCTGTTTCATTTTCACCTTCACATCTGATCCATACTTCCATAGATCCAAGTTCCTCATATTCGGCTTAAGTTATATCTTCAAGCACATCATCGGATTCTGTTTCATTTTCGCCGTCACTTTTTTCTCTGATCCACAGATAAATAATCATCTTCCGTTTCAACTAGACCGTCAGATATACCACATATATTAAATGGGTTTAATTTTATTCCGTGCTTTTATTATTTACTGACACACTATTTATGGACTGGCATGACGTATTTGGTCTCCATTTGTAACCAGTTTTTTCACCTTCACGTTTGCTCGAGTATTCCACTGACGTTAAAAATATTCTATCGATGATATATTGACATATATGTCTAATATCTGAACTAATGGCAATAATCCGCCTGGATAAACTGTCATATCTGTATAACATTATTTCAACAACATATTTGTGTTATCCGTTAGATGGAGGCTGAACATGTCCCAAAGTATTGGATTTTCTTGATTATCTGAGACAAAAGGAAGCTTTTGCCAAATATTTCTTATCCACAGTTTCACGACATTTTTCTCCGCCGATCATTTCTCTTGAATACGGATGAAAACACTTTCGGGAAACTGCACTTCTGCAAAATCTTTCTTTTAAAGATATCGATGGGATTTTAATTTCGTACGGTCGGCTAAGCAGGAGATCAGTACGGTGAGGTGAGATTTCTCGTTGGACTATTGTTTCTATGTTAACCGTTATTTTTCTTTCATATCATTGTTTATTTATCTCCTACCGTATAAAAACTACTGGAATGACATCCATATTTGCAACACGTGATAGTAATTAAATTTTTCCATATTTTTAAAAACTCATCAAAGTTTTATCTCTATATTTGCGAAGCCTTTGAAAAAATTTTGTCTTTTTTTCTCGGAGAACTGAATTATTCCGTGAAGTAAATCGAAAACACAAACTCAGTTTGCTTTAGAGTTTTCACTTCCATTTGCACTCCTTTTTTCTATTTTTAAGTCAAAGAAACGTACGCTGTTTCTTGTTACAATTAATTCATTCTAGCGATGATGGGGATTTTCTACAATGCAGTTTCCAACACTTTCGCCGACGGTAAGCTATTTCATTACTTCTTTATGCAATGCACAGTTATTCTTTGGCGCAATAATCATTGTAAAATTTCATGTTTCCTCCACTCGTGTACGAAGCACTCACGAAAACCAAACTGCATGATTTCCATTTTCTTTCGCAAACTGAATGACTTAACATTTGAAACTTGCATGTGTTTTGTTTCGTTCGGCAAAAGCCATAACTACTGCTGAAGAAAGCACTGGATGAACTACACTTCACTAAAATCAAATGTGATATCGTTAAGTCTTTGATGTTGACATCAGAACCACGGTTTCAAATGACTACAGAAAGAAGAACATGACTCCTAATTCCGCAATTTCACTTTGGTCGAAAGTGCACTCTTATCCAAATTACGTTCCTTGTTTCTCGAAGTCCTAGAATAACATTCTCTTCCACATCCAGAATGAATACAAATCACCACCTACCTTGCAGAAATATTTTCCCCGATAATCATTTCTCCTGCGCACCACCTTATCGCTTGCCAAACTGCAATGTTTCCGCAATTGACATATTTGCTCGTGTTTCCTAAGGTATGAAATAATCAAGAAGAGCTGTTGCGGGATATGATGTTTTTTGGTATTGCCAAACCACCATGTGTATTTTATTGCTTTCTTTATTTACTAAAGACCTGATGCATTGTAATTAAGCGATATAAGAACTTGATTTATATGCGATTACGTTTTCTTATACAAAATGTTCCAACAATGTGCTTATGCGTTGTAATTTCATTTATTCAAAACTCAGTCAGTCTAGTTATATTTATAAAATTTTCAATAGCAAACGAATGTTTTAAGAAAACAGTTTAGACGTTTTGGGTCAAGATACTTTTCAAAAAAAGTCTAATCCAAGAGTTATTTATATGAGAAATTTTATGTAAAAACAAATGGCGCACATTTTTACGTTTGAAATTTACTGGCATATTCCATGCCAAATTTAGTAAGAGATTTCAGGTTTTTACCAGCTAAAGGAAGTTAAGGATTTCTAGAATAATTTGCAAGGTCAAGGAAGAGTTTTGTCTATTGTTAATTGATATTTTCATTTCCAAAAAAGAACGTTAAGCATTAAATTTTGAAAGAAGTTTTTTATTTTCTTTTGGCACGATGCGTAATGAGTTTATTTCAAAAAAGCTGAAAATAAAAGTACCAGTTATCTATATTTTACTATTTATATCATAATAAATAACTTACTAATTTAAAATTTATTTATAAAAAAGATTTTACTCCCACAAAAGCCGTTTTATCCATTTACGCCCAGTTTGGGCACTTTTCTACTGCATATGCCTTTCATCAAATTGTACACGCTCTGTCCACAAAATATTCACTCGCTCTTTATTTGTGCAACCGTGGATATACTTCAATTAATAATCTGTTTTAAATGACGCAACTTTTTGTCTTTTCGAATAATAAACGGTTATTATTGCACAAAGTACGAAATCTGACTAATTATTTTTTCCTCCAATACCTAGACTTCTGTCTAGGTATTTGGTTATAAGAAATAAATCACAAAACAATTGACTGATGTCCATCGAAATCAGACGGAGATACTTATGTTCAAAATTATTTCATAACGAGTGCAAACTTTTTCCTCATAAAATCATGAGTGTCGGAGAAACATATGAAGAGCTAGGCTTCGTAATTTTTACAAAACAAATTATTTTAAATTTAAAAGTACCAAAGCGCAAACATTTACGTTTTTCAAAACACTTTTGTACTTGGAAGTCAATGCCCACCACAAACGACCAAGATCCGGTCTGAAATTTTGCAGACAGTGCACAGTCATCCGTTTCGAGTATCTTTCATTTTGGTTATTTGCGTATGCGATATAACCTTCTCAAATATTCTCATGCTTGTGACTCAGA